CCCCAAAACCCCAAAACCCCAAAACCCCTCTAAAAAAGTGTTAAATTGTATAATAATTCGAAAAAATGGTTTGGATTACGACTTCTCATGTTTGTTCCTTTTAAAATGAATTATCTTACATTGAGGCAGCCAACCTTTGTGATTCATCCCTCTAATTTAGATTCCTCAGATAGTTCCAAATACCTGATTAAATACCGCAACATAACCAGGGACAAGCTGATGCTTCATTTTAATAATCAAATAAGTAAAGTACAGAGTGCCCACTACTCCCACACTTTTCAGAAGGGTTTGCAGTTCTTCAGAACTGTCTGGGACTCTCCATTCCATAAAGTTCCTGTATTGTTTCTAGAATCCAGCCAGGGAGGTACTGACCACTCCCAAGGGCTCAAGAATATGCTGGCTTGATTGAGAATCAACCGTGTTGTTCCCATCCTTTTGGACCCAGTCAAATGCACTAGCGTTGAAAAGATGGTGAACTATGTTTTTACTCAAATATGTCAGATGTATCTAAGTATGAGTTTGACAATAGAGCACACCAAGAGTTTAATAGAGTTTTAAAGATCACCAGGGCCTCATCTTATGAGAATCCAACAGTCAGGAAAATAATTAAGAGCAATTTAAGGAATCTGGGAGATGGTAATACAACTAACAAACAAGATTTTGATATACCAACAATTCGATATACTTCAAATGGACAATATTTTGAGATTCCAGATTCTTCTCAGATCCCAAAAGGATTTGAATTAGCAGATCTTGAGTGATTGGTTCTATGGAAGATAAAAATGTTGACGCCAGCTAACTTAAAGATGTACCCGATTGTTCTGGTAATAAAAGATCTGGATCAATTCCCTGATGATTATATGAACCTTCTGATATATAATCTTCACAAATGTTGGAAAAAGCATTCTATTCAGATTGGGCTAATTCTCGGGACAAAAGGATATCAATTTGATGAGAATACATGAAATATCTCAATCAAAAGTTGGGATTTAATTATTCCATCAAAATTGAACTTTCCTCATTCAAGAGACATCATTGTTGAAGTTATGCAAAATCTGATCAAATGCCCATCTCATTCCTTTACATTTGATAGAGAGTTCGCCATAAGAATATTGAGTATAGCTCAAGTGTGAGGGCTTACAATTGAGCAGTTTAGAAAGGCTTTAAAATTTGCAGTTTGTAAGTTTGTATTGAAGGATCCCTACTTTTTTCTGACAATAGCTGAGCCTATGACCTGATTAGAAGTTAAAGATAAGAAGCAATATAAATTAAAAATAAGCCAAGTTATTAGAAATATTTCTTTAAAAAGTCCTATCAAAGCAGTGGGATGTAGCAAACCCCCAAGCCAACTTCGTAAGAGATTATTGAAGAAGATGATCAAGAAATACAAAGAGGCATCAAAATTAGAACATCCAAATCCAAGTAAATCCTCCCAAAACATTATGTGCGATACACTTTGTAGTAGCCAGAGTGAACATTGAAACGACAGCGAGTTTAAGGGAAAAGGAAAAACAAATTGGAGCCAAATCTGGCCTCTTTTAGGCCCAAGAGGGAGGTTCAGCTCATCCTAAACTAATAATGCTTAATTTGTTTCTTTATTAAGTATTAAAATCACTAGTTTTAGCTCAAAGTATACTTTATTTGCTCAGAAGCAGGATAACTGCCTTATTAGTTTTGAAAGCTATTCAAACGAAAATTTAAAAGGAAGATCTAAATAATAGCTGAGGATTTGATGTTGGGCTTGATATCTTCAGAACTCCCTAAGTTAAGTGAGCCTACAGTTTTGGAAAATAAAGTTAGATTATATAATTGGAATTTTATAATAGCTAGATAAGCTATAACTAATTTTTATTAATATTGGTCTTAGCCAACACAAATAGATTAACTAAAATAGTTTGAGTGGGAGGTACAGAGAATGCATTTTATGAAAGCATCCTCTGGTTTTTTTGAGCTAGACCTTAGCTCAGATACGAGTCAGAGGATACTTTTGCAAAACAATAAATAGGAAATACTTTTCCTATTTATTGTTTCGTGAGAAATTGTGAATATTATTTAAAAATAATGTAGAGGAACAGTGGCTTGGGTTATTAATAAATAATAATCTGAATTCATTATTTTCAGTCTTAAGAATAGCCAATGGGGTTTTGGGGTTTTGGGGTTTTGGGG